CCCCAAATTTACAGATGGGGAATCTGAGGTACAGAGAGTTGTGATTTGCTAAAGATCACACAGCAAGTCAGTGGCAGGAACAGGAGTAGAATCCAAGGCTCCTGACTCCGGGTCTTATGCACATAAAAATTGAATATAGGTTTTTGCTTTAGATAGAAGATGATGGATGTGATTGCAGTGTTGAAGTCAATTGGAGTTTTGCCCAAGTTAGGAATCCAGACTAGGCCTTGGAAAGATCTTTGGTTGTATGGGTTTACATGAAATATATTTCATTACAACTGTTTGTGAATTGTATATCTACTGCTGTGCCATTTACAGGTTATTGTTTTAAAGCAATGTTTCTCAAACTGGGGTCTGTGGACCCGAGGGCACTCCAGGGGGGTCTGCCAGCCCTGCTCATCAACTCCTCCCCTTCCCTCCCTCAACCCCTCCCTCTCCCTCCCACCCTCCCAGTGCCTCCTGCATACCGCTGAAGAGCTGTTCCCTGGCGTGCAGGAGGCACTGGGAGGGTGGGGGAGGAGCGGGGATGGGGCATGCTCAGTGGAGGGGGTGGGGAGAGGAGGGGTGGGGCATTGGGGGAAGGGGTGGAGAGGGGGCGGCGCCTGGGGCTGACAGGGGAGCTTGGGGCTCCGCAAAAAAATGTAAGTCAAAATGGGGGTCCTTCGGATGCTAAAGTTTGAGAACCGCTGGTTTAAAGTATATGTGAGAAAATGTTACGTGCCACTAGTGGTTGAGTATTACGTCTTTTAAATAATTCCTTTACATTTCATCTGCTACAAAAGGTTTGAACTTTTAATTAACATTTTTTATGGCAGTGGTCCAAAAGATTTTAATTGCATGCTGCTAATTTAATCAAGTTTGGACATAAATGATTATGTCGATCAGTAGGAAAGGAACAGTGCTGCAAGCCTGTGCGTCCCAAGAGCTTTCCCATTTTCAGAAGGGCAAGTGACGCTAAAACATGCCAAGTATGTGCTTGGCTGGGAGATGTGTACTGTGGTTTTTGGCAGTCATAAGTCTTTTTACTTTTTAAACCTAAATACCTTTTTAAATATTAGAAACTTGAAATTCTAAAATAAAATCCTATGTATTTTAAGACTTAATTATGCATTTTCCATTATTTGTAGATTTTTCAGTATGAGCACTAAATTCACTAAAAATATAAAAGATGTTAAAAATATCAAATTCTGTTATTGTAAGGTAGTCAAATAGAACAAAGTTCAGGCCATGCAAGACTTTCCATAATAAAAACAACTTAGTTTGACAGGTTAGTTTGCCCATAAAAGAATTATTACTCCCACTTAACAATAAACTCCCAAGTAAATATTTTAGACATGCAATTTAAAACTGATTTTTTTAACTTAAGTATTCTACTTTAAAAAGCAATTCAATTAAAGCCATATTTTGTTAGGATACCTGACAAATGGCTTTGATTTGATTTAAAAACTGCAAGTTGGCAAGAGATTTGTTTATAAAATGATTTAATTCAGTTTTATAGGCTGAGAGGTTATTAGCACAATGAAAAGAAATTGTCAAAATATTTAAAACAGAAACATTGACTAAAAGCACACGCCTAAGTTTACATTGACTCGAATTGTTTTGATGCTCTATCTGGATATTTGATGGGTTTCAACGTTTTTGTAAATAAGAATGTACATAACAGATTGTAGAGGCTTCAAATGATCTCTCGTGGTCTTTGGGACAATTAGATGTGAAAATGGCCTAAATGCACAGTAATTTACACAAAAATAGATTCCTTGTTGGGACTCTGGTATTGCTTTGCTAAATTTGAGAGAGAGAGGCCAGGGGAGGCTTTTTCTGACCAAAGTTTAGGAGATTTAGCACTTGGAGATGCCATGCTTATAAATAACAATAATAAATAATTAATACCCAGCTCTTATATAGTTCTTTTCATTCTTATAGAACCTTTTGTCCTGTCCTTGATCCTGCACCCCTTGAGCATCCAAAATGCTCAGTGATGTCACTGGGAGTTTTAAATGTGCAAGGAAAACAGGCTCAGATCAGGTCTAATGCAGCGGTGTCCACCCTGTGACCCTTAAGGCTCTAAATTCTGGCCCCCAAAAACAATTGCGTTAAGAACATTTCAGTTGGTTACAAATTGAGAATGTGTTCCATTTGCCCACGCGCACACACACTCCTCCCCTCCCCGATTCTGTCTCTGTTTTCCTGATTATTCTCCTCTACTCTTGGTATGTGAATGAAGTGGAGGGGTAGGTTTCGAGCATTTCAGACTTTACTAAACTGCACTGGCCCCGGGCACCTTTCTCCCCCTGCAGAGGATCAAGACTCATTGTGAGGGAAAGTAGTTAGGGGACAAGACTTGCCTATAGAGAATGTGGATGATTTGTAACACCTGTCGAGAATAGTCTAGGTATACTTGGCCCTGCCTCAGCATAGGAGGCTGGATCAGATGACCTCTTGAGGATCCTTCCAGCCCTACATTTCTGTGATTCTATGATTTGATGGCTCTGAAATCAACCTATTTTGTATACTTGTGAGGATGAAGATTTTCTTTTGCAGTGACCTGCAAATACATTTTCATTTGCTGATGTCAGGAGACCTGCTGAGAAGGAGTGATTTCTAAAAATGTACCTGTGCCTTTTGGGTATTCAAGCAAGCATGTAGGTATCAAAGCAAAACGTGTATTGTAATAGCAGGAATACCCATTTTGAGTGCAAATGGAGGTTTTTCTGTGTACAAAGTGGCATGCTGTCAAACTTTGCAGGTGTAGTTTCTGGGGCTTGTTTGAAAATTTAGTCTTGAGCATTTTTCTCATTTGTTATTGTAATGTTATCACATGTTCCTCCAAATAGCACCTTTCTTGTTTCACGTAATGGAGAATGGAGTGTGCTTACTGTCTGTAAGCTTCAAAAATATTGATTACTGTCATTGTAATGGTTATAATGAATTTTATGGTGACATTTCAAATTTAAATATATCATGTCATATGTTCTTTCCTTGAGTTACTGCTACCCTGGGATGATAAACACCGAGTGTAAAAATGTGTCATGTTAAGATTGTGCAAAGACTATCTGGTCCAGTAATTTAATTATTTCATTTTATTTGAAATTAATTTTTTCCTTCTGCGTCCTCTGATTTACATTTGTTTAATTATGGTAGATAAACATAGAGTCCTATTTTATCTTATCTATGAAGCTTTTTGAGCCATATAAATTGTCAAAAGCCATTCATGGATACTGACTTCACAGTAGGTGGAGGAAAGGTCAGTTCTGCTACACAGAGGTCAAAGAAAAAAAACAACAACTGTGCACCAAGAGGAGATCTCATGCAAATAACCTCCCAACATCTTACTATGGGCCTCTCCACTCCTGAAGTTCTATGGTCCCTTGAATTGCAGTGATAACTACCTCCAGCACCCCAAGATAGGAAGAAAAAAAATAAGCACCAGTCATGGTCAAAAGCATGGTTTGGTTTTTAAAGAGTACCTGGCATTAAGGATCAGAGAGAAAGAGGTTAACTTGTAATCATGAAAGACGAGCCGGGGGCTCCTATTGGGATTACATGAGAATCATTTAACAACCCTCACCCTATTTGAGAAAAATTCTTGATTGCTTCTTCTCTCCCCAATGTCCCGTCCCATTTGCCATTTCTTCAAGTGAGAGAAAACTGCATATGGTGGTTCTTTTTTCTGTGACTAACAGAAATGAAACCCAATGAGAGAGACTTCCCTCCCGCACACCGCCTTTGAAGGTGTATACCAGCTGGCAAAATGTCAGTCAACCTGTAAATCATTGTTAGGACAACAGGAAATGTATTCAGTATGCTATGGGACTCTCCAAAGGTCACAGCCCTGAACCTAATGTCCGCATATAATAATCAAGCAGGATGGAGTCTGTGATTGTAATACTGGAAATGGTGGTCCCTAATTTGCTATCATCTAGTTCCTAATTTGACATTACACAGCAACTGGAACCCCTGGCAATAGGCAGGAGACATCTTCACTGAATAGCTATGGGGATCCACATTATTTCTCTGGACTAGCTGCCACAAGAGGCTGCCGTATCCTTGATAGCACATATTTATGCAGGGGGGGAGAAAATGTTGGGGAGCTATGCAAAAATAATATCTGCAGATTCATTGGAATTTAGCAGTCTCCAAAGATATACAAAACATAGGTGAAAAATTCTCCGAGGTTTCAAACATAAGGCATGAGATTTGGAAGCTGGGTAACAAGAATCACTGATCATGTGACTATAAAGCGGTAGATGGGATGTCATTCCCTAACTGCCGGTTCCATTTTGACCACAAAACATAACAGGTATAGATATAATCACCTTCCCAGCAGATGAAGGTTGGCAAGTAAATGCTTGAAATTGTTCCACCAAAGGTTTCTGAACAGTCAGCTTCTGAATCTCATGCCTGACATTTTAAACCAAGAGTTTAGCACTATTCGTACAAATAACCAAGAGAAGAATAATTCCCTTTTCTTCTAGTTAAGGTCATAATTTTGCAAGTCTGAACCTTTTTCTACTATTCTATCAGAACATTTCTTCAGAATCCCTGAAAATGGACAATGTTCTCGTACGTGTATGCAAAACCACCAGAATTGGCATCATTGTTAACAGTCTCAGCAGAGAAAGCAAGGATGGCATGGAGAATTTATTACTGTTGTACCTAGTTTAGGGCTGATGTACAACGGAGTAGCATGGGGAAGCTTCAGCTCCTGCTGTACCTGTTCTGAGAACACACAGAGAGAGGCCACCTGCCTCCCAGTGCTACCTTACCCTATCACTAAATTCACTCTCATTTATGAAATAATGAAATTATATTTGGTTTTCAGTTTGCCAAACTATGATCTCTTCACTATACTTCGTTTTAACTGACAATTATGACCTATATTTATAAGTCATTTCTATAGATACACACACAGTTAGCTTTGTGTTCAGTTTTTATCTGTGTGGCACCGTAATGGTGCTGAGTAATTAATCTTCTAAACTACATTTTTTCCTCTTTGTTAGACTATCCATGGCCATAAAGGGCCAATAACTGCTGTGGCTTTTGCTCCTGATGGACGGTACCTTGCCACTTATTCCAACACAGACAGTCACATCTCCTTTTGGCAGGTAAGAATAGACACAAAAGGCGAAGATATATATGCGATGCTAGTATTGTAAATGGGGTTGAGTTTTGGCATTTGTAGTCAACTTTTGGGGTCTTCTTTAAAAATGTTATTCACTACTAGTGTAACCTCTGACAAAGGAAAAAAATGTATCATTATAGCTGAAATAACAAGCATTCCAAAAATCAGGAAATTCCAAAACTTAAAGCTGAAACCACAACATCAGTGCTGTCATTTTGGACAATCTGTATACAGAGCTATATCTCCCCACTGATTTTTCTCTTGCTTCCCCTTATTTTATTGCCCCACTAGTTCTTTTTCAGATGCTATCTGTGATGCTCTCACACAGGCATGCTGATAAAGGGTAAAATTTTCAAAAGTGACATAGGCCCTTAGGAATTTAAGTACCATTGAAAATCAATGGGATTTAGGCTCCTGAGTGCCTAAATCACTTAAACATTAGACTTAGGCTCCTTAGTTACTTAGGGTAACATTTTGACAAATTTCTCCACTCATGTTATCTGTATAAATAGATTATAACTTGTATAAATATAAATGTTGAATAAAAATATATATATTAACAGATACGCCCCTTGCAGTATGGACCTCTGTCTATCTTAGGTGCTATATATTGCTCATTACTGTAGTATTATCTGAGCATCTCACAATTTTTTTATATATATATATATATATATATATATATATATATCTCCTCACAACACACCTGTGAAAGAGGGAAGTACTATTATTCCCATTTACAAATGGAGAACTGAGGCACAGAGAGACCACACAACTTTACCAAGGAAATAGGAAGGTTGTGGCATGGCATTGAATTGAACCTGGATCCTTGAGTTCCAGGAAGCTAACACCCTATCCATTAGACCACCCTCCTCTGTTTGCATTTTATATCTGTGATGATGTCTGATTACCAATGCTCCTACATAAATAATAATATATACCTTTGTATTACTATTTTTAAATGTAAGGTGAGTATTACAGTAACTCCTCACTTAAAGTTGTCCCCATTAACGTTGTTTCGTTGTTAGGTTGCTGATCAGAGAACATACTCATTTAAAGTTGAGCAATGCTCCCTTATAACATTGTTTGGCAGCCGCCTGCTTTGTGCACTGCTTGCAGAAAGAGCAGCCTGTTGGAGCTAGCTGGTGGGGGCTTGGAACCAGGGTGGACCGAAAGCCCCCTTATCAGCTCCCCTAAGTTCCCTGTGCGGCAGCCACCCAGCAGGCTATCAATTGCCAGGCAGTTCAACTGTCCCTCCCCCACTGCTGTGTGCTGCACCTGCCCTCTGCCTTGGAGCTGCTCCCGGGAACCACCTACTTGCTGTGCAAGGGGGAAGGAGGGGTGCTAATGTCAGGGTGTCCCCCTCCCCCGGTCCTTTACCCCATCTCCACAGAGCGGGGGGGGGGGGAACAACACAACAGGGCTCAGGATGGAGGGAGCTTGCTGGCAGCAGCTGCTGTCTAAACTTGCTGATCTACTTAAAAAGGCAAACCACTTAAAGTACGGTCAGCGTACTTAAAGGGGCAATGCATGTCTGTCTCTCTCACACACAGGGTGTGTGTCTCTGTCTCTCTCTGCCATGCTGTCTCCCCTCCCTCCATTCGTGCTGCCTTGTAGAGTGTGAGGCTACATTAACAATAATGTGTTTACCCTTGAGGGCTCAGCTGATGCTAGTTCATCATTTAGCAGTAAGGCATTTCCTGGGAAATATCCCACCCTCTGACTCCACCACCTCAACCAAGCTTCACAATCATCATTGCTGTGTACAGTATTAAATTGTTTGTTTAAAACTTGTACTGTGTATATGTATGTGTGTGTGTATATATATAGTCTTTTGTCTGGCAAAAAAAAATTCCCTGGAACTTAACCCCCCTATTTACATTAATTCTTATGGGGAAATTGGATTCACTTAACATTGTTTCACTTAAAGTAGCATTTTTCAGGAACATAACTACAACGTTAAGCGAGGCGTTACTGTACTGTGTTTTTTGCTGTTCATGTGCACACTAAAAATGTGTAACCTCTAGGTAACTCGAGAACATTCGTAAGTTTGGAACTTTATGGACTAATACTATATTCTTAATAAAATACCCATACTTTTATAGCTTGTATTGATGTCTTGTAGATGTAAGGGTGCATTGATGGTTGACCAAATAAGAGCCTGCACTTAGTGACTAGGCCCTCTAAGCAAGCCTTTCGGGTTTTTTGTTTGTTTGTTTTTATTTCCTTTAAATTAATTTTTATGCTAAGGCTTGAGAATTTGATCTCAGTATTTTAATCAAAATTCTTATTATTGTTAATATATATTTATATTATATAGTGCCAAAAGTGAGCTGTGCACTTTATAAAAAGCAGGATGACCACATCCCTACCCTTTTGAGTTTAAATTAATAGTTTGAACAATCTTTTTCTTTCTTATGTTTTTTTTATCCTGAAAAGGGCACATGAACAGATCCCTATGCAAAGTTGAGCCTTATATCTTGAGACTTTTTTTTTTCCTTAGAAGACTTTGCAGTTGGGCTAGGTGATGGGGTAGATTTGGGTTGCTCTATCCCTTTTTTTCTCTGGAGCTAAGAGTTCAAATTCTATTTCAGGTCACCAGTATAAAGGATTTTAGTAGTTGCAGTTTAGTTCCCCTTTGATCATAGCAAAACATCAGCACTCAGTTTAGCGTGATTGGCAGAAACCAAGAGACAACAGGAAGGAAATAGCAAGTCAGGGTAAAGGTTTGTTGGTAAAGCTGGATGGGGAAATGTGTACAGCACTACCCTCATTTATGCATAACCTGTCCCTAGTTTTCTTGCGCAATCAATTCATATGTAATTCTAAAAGAAAAAGATATTGGCATTAATGTATTGAGGTATTAATTGCTTTACATTTAGTTTCCATTCATATTTTTAAGAAATTAACAATCACCTGTACCTTACATATCAATACGAGTTTTAAAACGTATGCATTTAAATAAGAAAACCAACTCAAATGGCCAAAGGATGTAAAAGTGTTTTTAAATTATAAACTTAAATAACAGTTCTGAAAAACAGTGGGTTTGATCCTGCAGTTCATGCAGGCAAAATACCCATCGAAGACAGTGGGAGTTTTGCCAGCAGTAAGACTAAAAGACTGGACCCAGTATGCCTGCAGATGTTAGTTAATGTTTTTTTTAATTTTCCGTATGTCATTCAGTAATACGGTACATGCCATAAAATGTACTGAATTATTATCCATCATATATTGTGCTTTCTGAAATAGTGAATAAGAACAGTAAAAATGTTCAACCATCAGTACATATACTTAGTTTAACTACCTGGGAAAGCAATCAGGCTTATTGATTTTGATCTTTTACATAGAATCATAGAAAAGGGACCTCACTTAAAAAAAACTTCATATTCAGGTACAGGTTTAAAAATGTGAATTGCCAGATTTTACTGTGTGTAAATCCATCCATGTTAAACTGGCTTTTACATAAAGAGTTAAATGTACCTATGCATTTAGTTTTAAAATGTGACCTCGTGCACTAGTGATTTTTTTCCCCTCTGTGTTCTATTCGGCACTATTATTAATGCAGGAAAATCAGTAACATTAGTCATCTTAAAAGGGTTATTACTCAAGATGATTTAAATTGTGAAAATGTCAGTGGTGCTTGCATGCTCCCTGCTAGAGATGCCATGATTTACACTCTCTGACACCATTCTGCTGCTGAGAAGGACTAGAAAAAGTAATGGCTTATATTTTGTACTGATCAGAATTCAGAACATGGTGTCAGCAATAACACATCTTAAATGTCCTAAGATTTGCCCAGGTTTCATGTGCCCAGTCCTAGGTATCGAGCTGGACCATCATCTACCTATTGTATAGAAATCCGGTTTAGATATAGATATGGGGTTTCTAAACCTTTTATCATTTTTGTTGCTCTCCTCCAATTTATTCATCTCTTTCCTAAAGTGTGGTGCCAGAATTGGACACAGTACTCCAGTCCAGGCCTCATCAGTGTCAAATAGAGCAGGACAGTTACATCCCATGTCTTACATATGACACTCCTGATAATACATCCCAGAATAATAGCCTTTTTTGCAACTGCATCACATTGACTCATGTTCAGATTGTAATCCACTATAATTCCCAGATCCTTTTCAGCAGTACTACCACCTAGCCAGCTAGTCCCCATTCTGTAGGTGTGCATTTGATTTTTCCTTCCTAAGTGAAGTACTTTGCACTTATCTTTACTGAATGTCATCTTGTTGATTTCAGACAACTCTCTCATTCTCTAATTTGTCAAGGTTGTTTTGAATTCTAATCCTGGCCTCTAAGTACTTGTGATCCCTCCCGGCTTGGGTTCATCCACAAATTGTATAAGAACATGAGCGGGGAGGGATAGCTCAGTGGTCTGAGCATTGGTCTGCTAAACCCAGGGTTGTGAGTTCAATCCTTGAGGGGGCCATTTAGGGATTTGAGGCAAAAATCTGTCTGGGGATTGGTCCTGCTTTGAGCAGGGGGTTGGACTAGATGACCTCCTGAGGTCCCTTCCAACCCTGATATTCTTTGATTTTCCACTCCATTATCCAAGTCATTAATGAAAATATTGACTAGTACTGGACCCAGGACTGACCCCTGTGGGACCCCATTAGAGATATGCTCTCCCTGTTTGACAGCAAACCATTGATAACTACTCTTTGAGTACAGTCTTTCAACCGCCTGTGCACCCACCTTATTAGTAATTTCATCTAGACCACACTTCCCTAGTTTGCTTATGAGAATGTTATGTGGGACTGTGTCAAAAGCCTTATGAAAGTCAAAATATATCACATCTACTACTTCCCTCCATCCACTTGGCCAGTAACACTATCAAAGAAGAAAATTAGATTGGTTCAGCAGGATTTGTTCTTGACAAATCCATGTTGACTATTTCCTATAACCATATTATCCTATAGATGCTTACAAATTGTTCCAGTATTTTTCCAACTAACTAAGTTAGGTTTACTGGTCTGTAATTCCTTGGGCCCTCTTTGTTCCCCTTTTTAAAGATGGGTGTATTATGTTTGCCCTTCTCCAGTCCTCTGGAAATTCACCTGTCCTCCATGAGTTCTGTTATGGCATTGGGACCACTCTTGTTCTGTCATGCAGATATACTCCAGCATCCAAAAGGTCTTTTCCAGCTCTAATTTTTGTGATTTTAACATGTTTAAATATATATTCCGGCAGAAATATAACAGTTATAATTTATAATTTTTGATTACTTATTGCAGTTCTGAAATGATATTGTATTAAATGAATATGAAGAAGTTGTAGATGATACTTTTTAATATGTTAAGTGATAGACTTCATTATAGGTTTAAGCTAATATGTTGGTTCAGATCTCACTATTTAATTTGAAGTAGATAGAATTAAAGGAAAATGGAAATTTTAAAAAGGCAAATGGTGAGACTGAAATTAATTTTTTACCACTAATTCTGTTTCTAAACTTTGCTGAGTTTCCATGCCTTGCAAAAGATTGTAACTTACAAAAACCAGAAACTTGGCTGTATTTTATTTCTCTATTTAGTCCAATTTAAAAAAAATCATTTTCATCATGTCTTGCAGGTAAAAAAGGGAGGAGAACTTTTTAAAATATGGTGTGACAGGGTTGGGACTCACCACCTGGCGCCTCCTTCTGGTTGTCTCGGGAATTAGCTCTGTCCAGTGGAGCGCCCCCTCCTGGTGGTGTCCCGTCCGTCGTCTCGCCCTCGGTGGGCGTGTCTGGACCCGCGTTGCTCCCAAGCTCGCGGCGTCCTCTTACAGCCACTGCCCTCCGGCTGTGCCCCTTAGTCCATCCTCGCCCCCTTCCAGGGGGGATCAATCAGCTGCCTCTCTGCATCGTGGCTGATGTGGCCAGCTGCACCCTCAAAGTCACTCCCTTCTTGGCAAGGGGTTGGTGCAGCTCTAGATGGCCGCTCCGGTGGCCGGATGCAAGGCAAAGGGGAAAGGGGGGGACCCAGGCCCGCCCACTACTCTGGGTCCCAACCCAGGGACCCTCTAGTGGCAGCCATCCTGCCCTCCTTCTCTCCCTCCGTCTGTCCACGTCCCTGGGCCGCTTCCCCTTTGGCCCCTCGCACCGCCTAGGCCCTTCCCTTCAGGGTCTGCAGCCTGACAGACTCCGGGCTGGAGTTACCCTCTGCTCCCCCGGGCCTGCCCAGCACTGCGCTGTCCCGGGTGCTAGTCTCCCAGCCTGGAGACAGACCTTTCCCCTGTCAAAGGCCTAGGACAGACTGCCTGCTCCTGTCCTGAGCAGCCTTCTTATAGGGCTGAGCCTGGCCCTGATTGGCTCCCTCCAATCTGGGCCCTGATTGGCTCCCTATAAGGCCTTCCCTGATTGGCTCCCTGTCTGCGCAGGCCCACTGGCCTGCTGCAGCACAAATTCAGGGAGTGGGCCAGCCGCCCCACTACATATGGCTATAAAAGTGTCGTTTATGATAATGTAAAGTCTACAGATCTATAGGAAAAAGGAAAGCAGTAAAATATGCACTACTAAATTTAGCACAACTAGTTTCATTTTGCAGAGTTGTGTATAGAGTTAATTAAGCATTTGCAAGCATTTGCAAACATACTGCTTAGATTCTCAGCATCTCTTTAGTTTAAGAAACAGTGTTTTTTGGTGGACTAAATAAAATTTTAATTGAAGGTCATTAGAGAGGGCAGCCATGTTGCTGGTACTGGCAGGTATTATTAAAAGTTTTCTGTAAATACCAAAGAGAAAAGGCTTTGTTTCACATTAAATTATTCTTCACAAGAAACCCTTTGATTTCAGTGTTGACTCTCTCTTTTTCTACTACTGCAGATGAACACCTCTCTTTTGGGAAGTATTGGAATGCTGAATTCTGCACCTCAGCTCCGCTGTATTAAAACATACCAGGTGCCTCCTGTCCAGCCTGCCTCACCAGGTTCACACAATGCACTCAAATTGGCACGGCTGATCTGGACTTCCAATCGCAATGTTATTCTTATGGCGCATGATGGCAAAGAACATCGATTTATGGTCTAGAGTCTGGCTCTGTATTGCTAGAAATACATTTTTTGTTGTAAAATTCCCTGTAATTCTCTCTTTCTCTGTTTTTTTGTAACACTGGATTACCCACACCAGTGCCTATATAAATCATCCAGTGGGACCAGCCAGACTGCAACATTTCTGCATGGTTCCCTAGAGCAGAATCTTGCTTGTGTCAGCTATTGATTCAGAGGTATGCCCACCAGCTCAACCAAGTGTGGTTATTGTATCATCATGTAGTTTTTCCTTGCCGTTGATAGGAGGGACGAAGATGGCTATTGGGAATGCTCTTGTTGCTTGGTGCAACAGAAACTGAAAAAAATCAATAACACTGAGGTTGCACTCCTTGACTAGATCAGCCTTTTCAGGAATCATACCCCAATTTCTGAAGTTGGGCTGAATCAAGTCACTTTTACATTTTAGATTGAAGTAATGCAGAGCAGTCCTAATTATAAATATTATTTTCCTTTTGAAGTTCTTAAAGAATCTTACTGTTTACCAAAAAGGTTCCATGTTTACATGTACTTTCTTCTAGTGACTATGGGGTGATCATTGGGTGAGGAGTCATAGGCTTTAGCAGTTAGCTTCTTGGGGATAACTGGCATGGGATTCATGAGAAAGTATATGAGGAATTAGGTTTTCAGGACAAGAGTAGCCTTTGTTCTCATTTTGAAGAAGCATATTTCCTCATATAGAGTTTAAATTCTTGATTGAATTGGAAGTTATGGCATACTAGGTCATTGTTTCTGTGACCTGGAAGAAAGAATTGAGCAGTCCACATGTAAATACCCAGAATCTCTTAAAGAGGGGGAAAGGAAACTTGAAAAAAAGAATACTTATGCACAAAGGTGTGTTTTTTCTGTATTCCCTTTGCTTCCACTGCAGATATTTATATTTTAAAAAGAGCTTTCTCTTTCCCACTTGTGCTGGAACTTGCAGGGAAATGAGAATCCTGCATTTATGCCATCACATCCTGTTGCTGTATACATTATTGCAGTGTCGCAAACTCACAGTTTGGCTTCATTGAAGGATTGAGGAGTAAAAATGCAAATGCGCTTGATGAAAACGCAGATATCACTGATATTGAGCAACTCAAAAATTATGGAAAATAAGTAAAAGGTGAGTTCATTGTTATTTGAATCCAATATATTTAAACATTTTCCCCAGTAAGAGAATTCTTCTGTAATGTTGTACTTGTTCACATTTTCCTTCTTTCTTACATATCTAATTTTGTGAAATATCTAATAATGTGAAAAATATGCTGGTTTATGCGTAAAGTAAAAAAAAATCCATAAAATACTATTTTATTTAAATATATTGATATAAGTGTTTGTACAGCTTTTATTTTCTTTGCCATTTTTGTCTGGAAAGTTCACAAAAGAGAGAAGGCTCACATTAAATGATGACATATAAAGTTAAGGGTGGTACTTGCCAGAAAATCCAACAGAATGGGAATAAATGAAAAGAAAATAATGGCTTCTAAATTTCAAATGCATTTTTTTCTAGAGGCAGTCTCTATAGTACACTATACATGAAAGTAGGATCTACAGTCCAGAATCAACATATCTGTTGTTTACTATAGTTTTTACGAACAAAGTAAGAAATTAAGACCATTAGGAATGTTTATCTCATATTGCTGTAAATTTTATTCTTTCTAAGTATGGCAAGGCTGAAGTATATAGTGGTGGTAAAATTCTGTAGTAGAATTTCTGATGCTTTTCTTTAAAGTAAACGTATACAACATGCATGTACATTGTATTTATAAAGAGAGAGATATATAGGTCTCCATGACAAGAAGCAAAGAATTACACAGCATATACACTATTTGTCTGTAGAATCAAATGCTATAGTGCTACATTTAAGTATAGGCATATGAGGAAAATTAAAAAGTACATTTTATTCATTCTTCCATAGGCATTCCAAAGTCATATTTACTTATGTTATAATATTTTTCAAGTACATATATGTTTACTTTTAAAAGCTAAATGGAAACACATTAGCAATGGGTATGCTAAAGAAGATTTTCTTTAGTATGCAGTAAAATTACATGTGTAATAAAAAGTTTGCTTTAAACTAAAAATTTAATGGATTACAAAAAATTGTAAAAGAAAGGGGGCAATCTACTTCCAGTACTGAACAATAGTTAAATGTAGCAAAAGCTAAATTAGCAAAATTTTCAGAAGATTATGACAACTTCTGCAAATGTTTTATACAATACATCTAGAGCAACAGTCAGGATTACAATTTAATGTGGAGTTAGTGTTACTTGGCTAGAAAATGCAGTAATGCTTAGTGGGTGGAAATAGATTATCTAACTGCTTAACTAATATTTGCACATTAGTTAAACACAAATCTCCATTTCAGTGACTTTGTCAACCCTACTCCCAAATTTCATCACAGATTAGATTTCTCAGCACTGCAGTAAAATTTGTGTTGTCATTCCAGTGTAAGCTTTTAGTATTTTATTGATTTGTTAGTACTGTATTTGGACTTGTCCTTGTAAATGTGGAGACATATGTGGCTTTATTGGCGGTTTACAAGCTAAAGATGACATGATGAGATAACTGTATGAAAATGTTGTAATGATTGAAGTCACTGTGTACGGTAAATGATGAAAATGTTTGCCTCTCAAGAAATTTCTTGATGATTCCACTTAAATGCTACTGTATGTACTAATGCTATGTACATATGTTTGTGAAATAAAAACTGAATAGTATTGAAGGATATTGTTCCTATATTATCATCCTAACTGTGATGTGATCACACACAAATGCATCCTTAGTTCCATGACTTACTTGACATTCATTTTTATTTTTCTTATCATGCACAGAAATAAATTCTTACATTTATTTGAATAAGGTTACATTTCACTAAGTTGGATGAAGATTCATGTTCAAGAGACTCAAGGCCTCCTTAACAAAAAAAGAAGTCGGAAAGTGCTGAGGGAAAACGATTATCTCTTCTGTTTATGAGAACAGTGTGAGTCAACCAGTTAAAGATAATGATGGTCTTCCAGAACCTCAACAACCCCCTCTGTAATATGTGTAAAGCTATGCTCTCTTCTTGTTATTCCAGTCCTAGATCTCTCTTAAGAGGGAGAGTAATTGAACCAAATTATGCATCGAGATTTTCTGACATGGACTACTGTCCATTGGGAGCTGAGCTGAGATTATTAAATTTGTTTAATGTAATACTTTGGATTTGAATTTGCATCCCCCCTAGTAAAAAAGCATGATTGCATTTGAGCAAGAATAACAAAATTGATCATTATTGCTTAAAAAGGTTTACAGCATAAGCAGTAAATGTAATCTTTCTCTTAGTGTTCAGATAAGATAGTACAGTTTGAATTGAGTCAATCATTTACATAACAAGACTTCAAAAAAATAGATAAACACAAAAGGAGTTGGTTGCAACATATTTGAGTCCTCAATTTTCAACGTGTGTGTATGTGTTAAAATCATTCATGACTTAAATATTTTCTCATAGGTAAAATATGCTCAATAACAGTTGTGTTGGTGATCACATAAACTGATCAAATGTGGAAAGGGCATGACATTAATAGGAAGGTAAAGCCAGGCAGTGTTGGATGAACTTTCACCTTTCACCTCTTCAGCTGACAGACAGAGTTGAGTGTTGAAAAATCAATACTTAGGAGCCAGGAGGGAAATATTTTCAACCTCTAACTAGAGAATGTATTTTGACAAGGCCAAGATAATCCAAGCTGCACAGGAGAAAGAGAAACGAAGACTCATTTTTAAAGCTTGACACTTCAAGGTGTTTTTGTACAATGGTTTAGAGAAAGCGTCGATACATACAAATACCAAAGGTCAAAAAGAAAAGCCAGAAGAATTTCAAAAATTAGATGCACACTGTTTCCTTGCTGTTTACTTTACAGAATAAAGACTACAGTTAGATTTAGCTTGTAAATATACTTTTAAATTAAGTGATCTCAGAATTTACCAGCTCACTCTGATTTACTAGAAATTAGAAAATACCAGAAGTCTGTATTTTGCCTTAAGCACTTTAATTATGTGGTAAATCTGCTTACTGCCTGCTATATACCTATATTCAAGCACTTTTATTACACTGCTCTACAGCCAAAATGCTTCTGAAATAAGTGTAGTCAAACGTTACTAATTCTGGGTCACTGAGAACGAAAATGATGCTTAAAATTGTTGACTGGCTCTAGTTTTCAAGATATGCTATTGGGTCAGTATATACGACCCTTGACTTGGGAATGGCAGAGGATAAGTGAGTTATAAAGGGAAGGGATCTCAATTTAAACCAGAAATGACTAAAATACATCTTTGACTGGATCTATGAATAAATCTATGACTGGGTTTGGACAGTACTTGCTTTTTAGGCAAAACAATGAATGATGCAATCTGAAGCTGGTATTGCGTCATACATGATATGAATTGCGTCATGTTATTCCTAGAAGTCATGGATGATGCAATCATAACGAAGCTTACATCACTCTGCTGAACAAATTGCCCTATATCAGCTCTAGAAATCATACAGTGTCGTGCTCTCTTATTTGTCAGTGTTTGATTTTGCAAAGGGACACATTTCTGTTTAGCCAAAGTGAGCAGAGATGCCTCGTACTTGTGTGAACAGTGCAGATAACTTCTGCTATGTTTGTGGTGAAGTGACTTTTGCATCACAAAAGCGCAGTATAACCACTATGGTTAAGAAAGCCTATCACCTTTATTTTGGCTGCAAAATTGGAGATCAGGACAAGAGGTGGGCCCCACACATATGCTGTAACACTTGTGCAACAAATCTTTGCCAGTGGTTGAACAGGAAAAGGAAATCTATGCCTTTTGCAGTGCCAATGATTTGGAGAGAGCCAACAGATCATACCAGCAATTGTTACTTCTGCATGGTGCCTCCAGTTGGGAAAGGTGTGTCAAAGAAGAAAAAGTGGGCTGTGCATTATCCAAACATTCCATCAGCTATACGCCCAGTACCCCACGGAGAAGGACTGCCGGTTCCTGATGCACCAGAATCATTCTCACTTGAGTCAGACGAGGAAGAGGAAGAGGATGAAACTTCTGGTCCTGAACCATCAATGTCACAGGACCCACATTTTCTCCCATCCTCCTCCTCTGAACCACATCTCATAACACAAGGTGAACTGAATGACCTTGTCAGGGATTTGGAACTACCCAAGAGTAAGGCAGAGCTGTTGGGTTCCAGACTACAGCAGTGGAATCTCCTGGCAGGTGATGTTAGGGTTTCCATGTTCCGTGACCATCAAAAGGATCTTGTCCCATTCTTCTTCATGGAAGGTGATCTTGTAGCCTGCAACAACATCGATGGTGTGATGGCAGCCCCCAACATCGTTCACGATCCAGACGAGTGGAAACTGTTCATTGATTCATCGAAGATGAGTCTTAAAGCTGTTTTACTGCATAATGGCAATGTTTTGCCATCAATTCCAGTTGGTCAAGCAGTCCATATGAAGGAAACCTATGACATGAAACAACTTTTGAGGTGCATAAACTATGACCAACATCAGTGGCAGCTTTGTGGCGATTTGAAGGTTGTTGCTCTCTTGCTTGGTCTGCAGACTGGATACACAAAGTACTGCTGTTTTCTCTGCGAATGGGATAGTCGTGCAAGAGATTCCCACTACATCAAGAAAGATTGGCCACTCCGACAGTCATTGGAGCCTGGGAGGAAAAGTGTTCAGCGTCCACCACTTGTTGAATCAAGGAAGATTTTGTTACCACCCTTACACATCAAGCTGGGTCTGATGAAGAACTTTGTCAAGGCCATTAACAAAACACAAGCAGCTTTCAAGTACCTCCGTG